GAGACAGAAAGACAGAGATGTTCCCCGTGTAAAACTGGGGACAAACAAGATGACATTTCTGTTGAATGTCTTTACAGTTCTGCTGAGTTAACAATCTCAGAAGAATCAAACCACTCCACCTTCACACACCTGTGCAGTGTGATGTAGACGACAGGTACCCAAGGGGTGACCGTAGGGAATTAATGAGTAAACACGTTTATGGGATCAGGAGGTTTTTTCCAAGCTGCTGGCCTCAGAAAAACAAAACCCTTAGTCTATTTCAGGTTCTTTTTATAAGCCAGTAAAATAACATATTATACTGATTAAGCCAGTTATGTCTGGTACGGAGCTGTTTACAGAACACTTTCTGTTGCCATGGCACTTTGAAGGTTCAGGGCTAAATACTTATCAGCAAAGTAGAAGCATAAATTCGTCCTTTACAAAGTTCTCAGCATCCTGGGTTCATTCAAAGTCCAGATCTCAAGAAGAGGGAGGAGGAAGAGACAAGCAGATGGGCAGCCAGCTTTTGCTGGCACAATTTCCAGACAGCAAGGACCATGTCACCTTGCTGCCTAGTGCTTTACAGTGTGACAAAAACTTAACAAAAGAAACAGACACCCGAACAGGCAGAGAGGGCTTGACACAGCTCCATGAGATTTCCGGGGCCCCAGATGCAAAGAAAGAGTAGCCAGTGTTTCCCATCTCCTGACTAGGTCTTCTGAGCACATGAAGTGGGTGGAACCTAAACAGGTCCAGACGTAAGAACTCTGGAGGATTCAGCTATGATCTACAGGAGTGAGAACCAAGTATCAGATGAAATCAAATACAGGAGAGACCAAGGGGCAAAAAGCCCTTTTTGAAAAGGCCCATCCCCTGCCATTCAGAGTGAAGAGACCAAAGAGTTCACAGAAACCATATAACAGAGTGTCGTCCACACGAGAAAGACTTTACATTTGCCTCTGAGCTGCAGCACCAATGCAGTGAGAGAATAAGCTTTACATGTCTGAAGTCCAGAGGGAAAAGAAAAATTTCCATTCAGAGCTCACAGGAAATAAATTTGTTTTCCTACACACCTCTCTCCCACTTGCAGAGTTTCCCAAACACCATTTCATGGTGTGGCTTCCTCTCTGCCAATCTGAGCTCTTACCTGTGTTCACCCCTTTGATCCATTCCTGCCAATTTGGATTTCTTCCTACTTTGTCATGGCTCTCCACAGCCCGGGGGTCCTTCCCTTGCTCCAACATGGAGATAACGCTTAGGTCAAAATGAGAGATTCCTACTTGAAAAGAAAGAAAGAAGTATAAAGTGCTGAAACTTTTCCTGAACCTCAGTCCTATGTTTACTTGAGAAGAGAGGATATTACAAATAAATCTCAAAACATATTTCAGAAATTCATCCACTGATTCTGTCCTTCAGAATGCTTAGGTAACACGGTAATATGGACATATCTACCTCTGCTGCAAGAACCACTGAATCAAAATACAGAAGCAGAAAAAAGGTAATTGGATATTTCAAAAGTCTGCCATAAATTTTTATGCACACAAAAGATCTGAACCACCCAATGATGTATCATAAAGGGGGCAGAACATCTCAAGAAAAGGGACAATTAAAGTCCAGATCCTACATTATGAAGCTTTCATATCTGAGTCAATTGGGCTTCAATTTCTTTAAAGCAACACAGGGACTCACAAGAGACTCACGTGGAAAATGTAAAGACACATAAGGGTGAACCCCAACTTCTGGAAGTTATCCTCACCCAGGGAAACCAGGTTCCTGTAGTTCTCCAACATCACGTCCCTGTACAAAGCCCTCTGAGCAGAGTCCAGGCATTTCCACTCCTCCTGAGAGAATTCTATGGTCACATCCCTGAATGTCAACCGTCCCTAAAATAAAAAACACATTTCATCAAGGGGCTACAGGGAGAGCTCTAGTCTTCACATAAAATGAGAAGACAGCAGCAAACATAAATTCAATTGAAGTGAGCCTGCCAACAGATGCAGGTTGTGATATTCTGAAATATGTCATTTGGTCTTTGTCCCTCTTTGCTGAAATATAACTCACTTGGAATCTCTAGTGTGGTATCTGCTTTCATGGTAATGAGATAACTGGTGGCTGGAGGCCACCAGATATGTTCACGATGGGGGTCTGGTCACTGGGAAGACTGAGGCAGAATTAGAGGGTTGGGACTTTCAGCCACCCTCCCATCCTGGAAGGATGGGAGATAATCGTCAATGGTGAATCATGCAAACAATCATGCCTATGTAATGAAGCCTCCATAAATATGCAAACTGACAGGGCATTTATAGGCAGCTAACGTGTAGCTAACATGTAATGTTTCCCTGAGTTCTGTGAGTTGTTCTATCGGATTAATCAAAGCCAAGGAGGGGGTCATAGGAATCTACAATTTATAGCAGGTCATGAGAAAGCATGTGAGAAGCACATGCCACAATTTGTGCTTGTAACTGGCATCCCACATGAGAGCACTCTTGTGGGACTGAGCCCTCAACCTGTGGGACCTCATGCTATCTCCAAGTAGATACTGTCAGACTTGAATTGCATTAGAGGACAACCGGCTGGTGTCCCCTGCAGAACTGCTTGGTTTGTGTGTGGAAAACAACCCACACATCTGGGATCACAGAGCCTTCTGTGTTGTGAGAATATAGTAGGAGAAACTGAGCCTGTTTTTCCTACACACATCTCCAGGCATTTTTGAGCAAGTTATGTCTCCCAAGTTCTATTTTATTATACTTTTCCATAAAATGCTAGATATCCTCTAAATCAGTATGGGTTTCTCAGTTTTGTGAACAATATCAAAAACATACAAATAAAAAACCAACACACGGTTATCTCTGTAGAAGTGTTATATAGAGAAATATGTAGATGAGCTAGAACATGAGTGGTGTCTTCAGAGATGACAAAATCCACAGTGGCAGTAAAGAACAGTCAGAATCTAAAAATCATGATGATGACAGACATAGCAATAACTGACATTCATGAACATTTCTTGTGGGCTGGGCATTATTCTAAATGTCCCTGCGGAAACATCACAGTCTCTGTGGGAGAGATGTGCTGGATGTGCTGAGAATTGTTTAATGAATCTGCTGTTAGAACTTTAGGTTGATGTCATGTTGCAAAATTGATGATGGAATAAAATACTCTCTATCACTGATGTCTGTGTCTGAACTTTCCATTCCAACCCAAGCCATTAAGAGTTTGAAATAAGAGACATACTGACTCCCTAGCTTAGCTTCAAATTTATTACAAAATCAGGCACAAAAGGTTTCTCCTTATTGGTCTCCTTTTCCAGAAGTTAGCAGTTATCTATACGCATTAATGAACTCCATGTAAAGTTTCTCTAACCCTGGTCTACAGAGAGCTGCCAGTGCATCCAGATGTGGCCCTAAACACTCCCTGCTGCCCATCA